GCCAGCGCGGCCCGCTGTCCGCCGGCGCGCCCGCCCGCCCCGGCTGCCCGTAGTCCGCAGGCCGCGGCCCGTCGCCTCCTCCTCCTCCGCCGCCGCCGCCGCCGCCTCAGGGCTCGGGCGCCGCCGCCGCCGCCGCTGCTGATGCTGCTGCTGCTGCCGCTGCCTAGGCTGCGCCCGTCAGTCAGCGACCGGAAGTTCTGCTGCCCGGAAGTCCCGCCCGAGCCCCGCGGCGCGGCACCACTTAAGGGTCGCGGGGCCCGTGACGTAGAGGTAGCCCGCCCCCGGGACGGAAGCTCGGCCGAGCGGGGCAGGGAGCACTTCCGGTCTGGCTTGTCACGGCCGCAGCTCGCCAGCGCACGTCACCCTGAGCGGGTTCCCGCAGCTCCCACGACACTGGTCCGACTTTAAACGTCACCTCGCCCTGTCCCAGGAGCATATGGACACGGTCGTTGCGCCGTAGGGGCTGCGGCCGCAGCAGCCATCCCGCGCCTGCCGCGGCGCAGAGCTGCCTGCCCCTGAGCTCCGCGCGCGTGCGCGCGTCCCCGCGCTTGTGCCCGGGTACCGGCGAAGTGACGCTGCCCATCTTGTCCCCAAGTCCCCGAATAAGCTCTTCCACCCGGGCTGCTGCGCTGTCCTGCGTTGTGTGTAACTTCCTCAGACTCCCCGGCTTCGCGATAGCTGTAATCACCCCACTGGGTTCTGAATTTCAGGGGTTGTCCTTTCAATTTGTCCTTCTTGATCCTACATTCTATGTCTTGATAGGCTCTTATTTCCTCCACTTGCATCCACTTGAATGAAATCTCTTTAGCAAGGTTTTTTTGTTTGTTTGTTTGTTTTTTAAATCATAATTACAGTATCTGCAGCCTTTGCGAATCTGATTATGCGGTCTGTTGTTTTGGTTGATTCTTGCTTAGGCTGCTCCTCCTTTCCCTTCCGAACTAGGATGCCTTGGATCTTTGTGGAAACACTTTGAAGTGTGAGTTTAGAGTTGCTCCACAGGGATCTGCATTTGCTTTCACCGGTATCTGAGGACACCAACGCACAAGTTACACTTGCATCTTGAGGGTCACACAGGTAGTAGTAGTTGATTAAAAACAACAGCCCCTAAACTTGTCAGGGCTTAATACGAACAGAAATGCTCTCATCCCTTTTACCTAATGAAATGCTTCAAGGTCAGTTCATCCTAACCTGACTGCACCAAATCAATGAACTCTCCTGCAGATAATGATGTCCTGAATACTATTGCACAAATTTTCCCCTTGCAACCTAATTTGCTGTATGGATGCTCACCCACCCCATTAGAGATAAACTAAGGTTTCTGTCTCAGGTCCAGATTATCTGGAGAAAAACAAACAAACAAACATTTATTTTTGAGAGACAACATGAATGGGGCAGGAACAGAGAGGGAGACACAGAATCCAAAGTTGGACGCTTAACCGACCGAGCCACCCAGGCGCCCCCAGATTATCTGGATTTTGATGCTAGCTAAGTGACTCAGTCATCCCATTTCATTTCCAAACTGAGCCTAAAAATACTACCAACCTCCTAGGAAAGTTATGAACATTAATAAGCTAATCCATTAAAGGGGCTTCATACATTTCTAGCAATATAGTAAGGGCGCAATATAGAATTGTTAGGTTTATTCTCAAGATGAAGAGTCAGGACAAACAAGTATGTGTAATTTTTCTTTTTGAGCCAATTACAAAAAAAGCTTGTGAGTGTTTTGGGGGAATGTTCAAGACTTCTGCCTTAGGCCTTTTTTCAGAAACATGACCCCTCTGAACCTTCTTCGTACCAAATATACAGTAGGGTAGCCCCCGCTGTGAGGCCAATTGGCCACCAACTTTATTTGTTTTTATTACTAACATAACTGGGCAGATTTACTTGAAACTGACTAAAACAGAACGAAGTTTTAACAAGATGAGCCGCTGGGCAATTCCTGATGCGTACTTGAGGACGCCACTCGTGTACTCGGGCGACATAAGCTAGAACTTGCTTTAACAGACCTCCATTCAGATTTGTAAACTAAATTGGGGCACAATTCTTTTTCCCTCTGCACGTGACCCTAAAATGTAAGGTGAGTACTTGGGTTTCAAAAGTGCTGCTTTAGGGGCGCCTGGGTGGCGCAGTCGGTTAAGCGTCCGACTTCAGCCAGGTCACGATCTCGCGGTCCGTGGGTTCGAGCCCCGCGTCGGGCTCTGGGCTGATGGCTCAGAGCCTGGAGCCTGTTTCCGATTCTGTCTCCCTCTCTCTCTGCCCCTCCCCCGTTCATGCTCTGTCTCTCTCTGTCCCAAAAATAAATAAACGTTGAAATAAAAAGGTTATACTTTAATTTGCTAGGAAGTCACCTAGGACCCTGTAATGTCTCCCTTAATTCTTCCTATGCTGAATTTTGATGGCACTTCGTCGTCAAACATACAACAGGAATATTTCACTTGTGATCTTCAAGAATGCTAAGGATTAAGGAGATAATAAGAAATGACCGGGTAACACAGGAGGAACATACATTCTTGCCACGCTTGAAAATAGAACAAGTTCCGTTCCGCTAATGGAGCCAGTACATTCTGGAGAAAGCACAGGACGTGAAATGGCAACCCTTTCATGTTTGTCGATCGCTCCCTCACCGTAACATTCATAGAGTTACGTTGGTCCTTTCAGACGTGGCCACTGCCCAGCTGCTGGAGACAAATGGGTGGTGACTCTCCAGGACTGAACTGCCCTGTGGCTGGGGCCACTTTAACGTTACCAGTGCCTAGCGCACGTCTTGGGACATGCTCTGCACTCGAACACGTTTTCGGATGAACAAACGAAGACGGCGTCCGTGGCGTATGTCCGGTTTCTTTCTGATATGCTATTCTGGTGCTGGCTGTGGTCCAGCAGGGAGAATGGTGTGCAGCCTCCTGTGGGGTGGGGCTGTGAGGGGGGCCTCTCAGCAGGTGGTCTGAGTGGTTTCATCACCCTAGGTCCATGTAATGCATATTGTTTGCTTTTACGACATAGGGAAATAGCTATCATGTAAGAGGGAAAGACGTTCAACCTGTGCTTTCTTTGCAGGACTTTAATCTAATGGCAGACTAAAAGCTCAGCACCACATCTACTTATTACCAAGCTTGTTACTGGAGTTGGAAAGCCCACTCAAGAGGCAAGTTCAATGCTGTCATTTCTTTAGGAAAACAAGTGGTTAGGAGGAAAAAAAAAATGATTACCTTTAACTTACCTACAGAAACCCAAAAAGGACACTGGCAAATTCCTGTTCATTCTATTCAAAGGTAGGTCTTTGGTTTCCAAATTTAAAACTGTAAACCCATGGGGCGCCTGGGTGGCGGTTAAGTGTTTCACTTCAGTTCAGGTCATGATGTTGCAGTTTGTGGGTTCGAGCCCTGTGTTGGGCTCTGTGCTGACAGCTTGGAGCCTGGGGCCTTCTTCAGATTCTGTGTCTCCCTCTCTCTCTGCCCCTCCCCCACTCGTGCTCTGTCTCCCTTTCTCAAAAATAAACCTTAGAACAATTTTTTTAAATAATAAAACAACCCCTGTAAATCCATAACCTCTGAGAAGATTAACTTGGGCATCCTCTGGCTAAATGGTGCAGGGGTGGGGCGGGGAAGGGGTGAAGGCAAACCCCTTCAGCAAAGAACACCTGTGAGGGAAGGAGCAGAGTCCAGGCATTTCGGGGAACGGATGCTGAGAAGCACATGTGAACATGCACACAAAAGACTGACCCAGACTTCGAGTACGTGATTGCGAAGTTTAATTCAACGTGTATACCCAGTCCTGCTTTGTAACAAGATGCCCCTATCAAAACTACATTGTGCTGTGAGTACAGACTTCTCGTTTTTGATACAGCTCTAGAAAAAAGTTGGCACCAAATGCACATAAAAAAAAATTTAAGGCTTAATAAAAATACAGACATAACTTCTCAATGCAGCTTAGAGATTGAAAACAGGATGCCGAGTTAATGAATCTTCCAAATACAGGCAGTCCCCAGTTACAGAGCATTTTCCACACAGGAATGGCCACCCCACTGGCTCACAGGAGCAGAAAGGCCTCTCCTGCTCCTCCCAGTGACCGGACCACCAGGCACCCTAAACTTGTTTCCGCGGCCCCAGGGAGGGAAGGATGGAGATCAAAGGCAGCGCAGCGCGTCTGTCTCCACTGCAGAGGCTCTGGCTACAGTTCTGGTTT